TGTACAGTAGCACTCAAAAGTCTTCGGTCAAATGCTTTGACGCTTTTTCGACCATAACTTTTTTCTTAGTAGACCAAATCGCGCGAAATTTGGATATGTTTGACTAGAGCGTATTTCACCCCACACAAAACTATATGACTGGAAAGCTGCAATAACCATAGGTAGAGCAAGGTGTTTGTTGCGGTAGCAGATTTTGTTAAAACTAAAGTTGTTGACGTCTCCACTTATTCGCACCTTATGTGCGTTTTTCTCATCTATTGTGTTTGGCCTTACCGCTCCTACACTTTAGACATGACAAAAATGAGAGAGATTCTAGAATAACCGTCATCTGTATTTTCAGTCGATTTTGAGTTCATGCTCTTTGGAATATCTGGAACATGATCAGATTGGAGGTTAATAGTGGTAAATATTCAAGGTAGTCCCACGTTCCACATATAGAATTTTTGCACGATTAAATCCAGTAGGAAAGGAGTTACGACTGAAAAGTTCGGCAGAAGAACTATTTCACCGAAGACTTTTGAGCGCTACTCTATGTATGCGTGTGTTTGACGGGAAATTCATAACCCCTGCGCCCCTGAACCTAGAACGTTCGAATTGGTAAGAATACAGGCGGTAGGACGATAGCACTTATGGAGGATGTCAGGACTGGATTCCGCCTACAAGGGGCGGCGCGTGCGCGGAATAAGGGTTTGACTGAAAGTTAATAATTTCTGTTCCCGTGGAACGAGAAGGTTCAAACTTGGTAGATGTACACTCGGCAAGATGAGAATGCTGACGGTAAGTGACCACACTGACTCGGCCATCGAGGCTACAGGGGCAGGGTGTGCGCGAGATACATGCTTGACCAAAATTTAATGACCACTGTTACCGTAGAGTGAGAGCGTTCAAAGTGAGTAGGGGTACGAGCAACAGTATTAGGGCACTGATGGTAGGCGGTTGATGGTAACCAACTGGATCTCGCCAGCGAGAGAGGTAAGGGGATGTGAAGGGTGCAGCATGGGTAAAATGAGCATAATCTGAATGATTCGCTCAGATAAGTTGAAAAAAGAGGGTAACGAACGAAGTTACTTGAACACA